GCCAGTGCAACTGAATAACCAAATTTTCTATATTATTTTAATTTATTTGGCTTTGCCCAGGGCACTCAGGCACAGCAGGCTCCAGCAGCCAGAGAACAATCCCAGACGAAGAATTCCAGGAGGTTTAAGCTGTTGAAAAGTCAGTCTGGTGCTCATGGAAATGGGGTGATAGGGGACACCAACAAAGTTTCCCTCAGCTACCTCCCAAAATAGCACATAAATGTCAATTTAGGCCATTTGACTAGCTATTTTCTCAGAAGCAGAAGCCCCCCCCCCCCACAAAGTTTCCCTCAGCTACCTCCCAAAATAGCACATAAATGTCAATTTAGGCCATTTGACTAGCTATTTTCTCAGAAGCAGAAGCCCCCCCCCCCAAAATCATTATTATGTGTAAATAAACAACCAAGACTTGATTTACTCAATGTTCATGTATTTTCTAGCCAAAGAAGTAGCCATTCCTCAAGATATTTTCTAGAGGCTCAGGGAACAACATTCTTTTCATAATTATAAGATGTTCTTTGCTATTTTCACCACATTGACATTTTCACTAATGGTGCAAAACAAAGGAATAAATGTACAGGTATCCTATCATGATCAGAGGTACTGGCTGTAAACTAGTAGTCACTGTATCCTTGATCACCATGTAATTGCAGCTGGGATGGGGTGGGGCAGCATGAGTTTCACTTAAGAATGAACTAAATAAAGTAGTAAAAGGTCTTAGTTCTGTCAAATTAGCTCTTAAAAATGCCAGTTAAAAAAAAAAATGAAACGAGAAGCAGACAAAAAGCATTTTTGCTACACACCAAAGCACATGGTTTGGAGGATAAGCATTGGTGTGACTGAACTGTGAGCTAAACTAGTTCATAATTTCCTGGAATCACATTTTTACTTGAAGTTTCAACTGAAAAACTATGATTATATTCAGCCTTGAGTATCTGATAGACATTTTCTCAAAAATGATTCTGTAAACTTGAAACCTGAAGAAAAACAACTGACAGTATTTGTCGTGAGTGGTAAAATTTGTTCTCAAGCCAAAATAAGAACTTTGGAAAAATGTTTGTGTCACAGAGATCTTGACAGCCACTCAATGAAAAGATTGATGATATTAATAGACAGATATTTATAATAAAACGTGTCAACATCTGAAAGATCTACCTATTAACTTATTAATCAATATTTCCAAATGAAAAATGTACAATGTACAAAATCATGCATTAAAAAAACACACTCAAAGCACAAGACTGATCAATGGATGCAACATAACTGAATACAAAACATTCACTGAGATGGATTTTTCAGATACCACATTCCAAATGATGATTAAAAAATACAAAGTGAAACATTTTTTGTTTTAGTTAAAGAATAAAATGGGAAAACTTAGACAGTCAGTTCACTCACTCAATTGTGTCTCTTTGCAACGCCATGGACTGCAGCACGCCAGGCCTCCCTGTCCATCACCCACTCCCAGAGTTTACTCAAACTCATGTCAATTGAGTTGCTGATGCCATTCAATCATCTCATCCTCTGTCCTTCCCTTCTCCACCCACTTTCAATCATCCCCAGCATCAGGGTCATTTCAAATGAGTCAGTTCTTTACGTTAGGTGGCCAAAGTATTGGAGTTTCAGCTCCAACATCAGTCCTTCCAATGAATATTCACGACTGATTTCCTTTAGGATGGACTGGTTGGATCTCCTTGCAGTTCAAGGGACTCTCAAGAGTCTTCTCCAACACCACTGTTCAAAAGCATCAATTCTTTGGTGCTTAGCATTCTTTATAGTCCAACTCTCATGTCCTAACATGACTATTGGAAAAACCATAGCTTCGACTAGACCTTTGTTGGCAAAGTAAAGTCTCTGCTTTCTAATATGCTGTCTAAGTTGGTCATAACTTTCCTTCCAAGGAGTAAGCATCTTTTAATTTCATGGCTGCAGTCACCATTTGCAGTGATTCTGCAGCCCCCAAAAATAAAGTCTGTCACTGTTTCCCCATCTATTTGCCATGAAGTGATGGGATCAGGTGCCAGATCTCAGTGTTCCGTATGTTAATTTTTGAGCCAAGTTTTTCCCTCTCCCTTCACTTTCATCAAGAGGCTCTTTAGTTCTTCTTTGCTTTCTGCCATAAGGGTGGTGTCACCTGCATATATGAGGTTATTGATATTTTTCCCACCAATCTTGATTCCAGCTTGTGCTTCCTCCAGTTCAGCATTTGTCATGATATACTCCACATATAAATTAAACAAGCAGAGAGGTAATATACAGCCTTGACATACTCCTTTCCCAATTTGGAACCAGTCTGTTGTTCCATGTCCAGTTCTAACTGTTGCTTCTTGACCTCTATACAGATATCTCGGGAGGCAGGTCAGGTGGTCTGGTATTCCCATCTCTCTAAGAATTTTCTATAGTTTGTTGTAATCCACACAAAGGCTTTGGCATAGTCAATAAAGCAGAAGTAGAGGTTTTTCTGGAACTCTCCTACTTTTTCGATGATCCAGCGGATGTTGGCAATTTTGATCCCTGGTTCCTCTGCCTTTTCTAAATCCAGCTTGAACATCTGGAAGTTCACAGGCTTGGAGAATTTTGAGCGTTACTTTGCTAGAGTGCGAGATGAGTGCAATTGTGCAGTAGTTTGAGCATTCTTTGACATTGCCTTTCTTTGGGATTGGAATGAAAACTGACCTTTTCCAGTTCTGTGGCTACTGCTGAATCTTCGAAATTTGCTGGCATACTGAGTGCAGCACTTTCACAGCATCATCTTTTGGATTTGAAATTGCTCAACTGGAATTCCATCACCTCCATTAGCTTTGTTTATAATGATGCTTCCTTAGGTCCACTTGACTTTGCATTCCAGGATGTCTGGCTCTCGATCAGTGACCACACCATTGTGATTATCTGGGTCATGAAGATCATTTGTTAAAAAAATTCCTGTGTTGTATTAAAGAAGACCATCAACAGTCATCCAAACAGGCTATTAAGATATATCTCCCTTTATGGACTCATCTATGTGAGGCTAGAGTTTTGTCCACTCCAACAAATAGCAACAGATTAAATGTAGAAGCTGCTACAGGAATCCAGTCCTCTTTTACTAAGTCAGACATTAAGGTGATTTGCCAATTTTCCAAATATTTGTTGGTTTTGAAAACTGTTAATTGACATTAAAACACTTCTTAATATTGATGACCTATAAAGGGTTTTTTAAAGGAATTTTAAAAAAATTTAATTTACCAGCTTTAGTTTTTACATAGTAAATATTGAAATATAGAACTATCAATACATGCACATAAGCTATAATATACAAACAAAAACTCTCTGAGGTCACAATAATTTAAGAAAACAAAGGGTCTAGGATCCCACAAAGGTTTCAAGAGTTACAGACTGCTGTCATTGCTATTCAGTTGCTAAGTCATGTCCAATTCTTTGCGATTCTACTGACTGTGGCACACCAGGCTTTGCTGTCATTCACTGCCTTCCAGTGTTGGTTCAATCATACTCATGTCCATCAAGTTGATGATACCATCCAACCATCTCATTCTCTGTCACCCCCTTCTCTTCCCAACCTCAATCTTTCCCAGAATCAGGGTTTTTTTAAAAAATAAGTCGACTCTTCACATCAGGTAGCCAAAGTACTGAAGCTTCAGCTTCAGCATTGGTCCTTCCAATGAATATTTAGGGTTAATTTCCTTTAGGATTGACTGGCTTGATCTCCTAGCAGTCCAAGGGACACTCAAGAGTCTTCTCCAGCACCACAATTCAAAAGCATCAATTATTCAATGCTCAGACTTCTTTATGGTCCAACTCTCACATCCATACATGACTACTAGAAAAACCACAGCTTTGACTATATGTACCTTCGTCAGCAAAGTGATTGATGTCTCTGCTTTTTAATATGCTGTCTAGGTGTTTCATAGCTTTTCTTCAAAGGAGAATGTGTATTTAATTTCATGTCTGCTGATACAGTCCACAGTTATTTTGGAGTCCAAGAAAATAAAATCTGTCACCGTTTTCACTTTTCCCCGATTCATTTGTCATGAAATGACAGGACTGGATGACAAGATCTTTGTTTTTTGAATGTTGAGTTTTAAGCCAGATTTTTCATTCTCCTCTTTAACCCTCATCAAGCAACTCTTTGGTTCCTCTGCTTTCTGCTGTTAAGAGTGGTATCATCTGTATATCTGAGGTTGTTGATATTTCTCTCGGTAATCATGGTTCTGGTTTGTCATTCATCCTGCCTGGCATTTCTCACGATGTACTGCATGTAGAAGTTAAATAAGCAGGGTGACAGCCTTGACATACTCCTTTCCATTTTAAACGACTGTGTTGTTCCATGACCGGTTCCAACTGTTGCTTCTTGATCTGCACACAGGTTTCTCAGGAGGCAGCTAAGGTGGTCTGGCATTTCTATCTCTTGAAGAATTTTCCACAGTTTGTTGTGATTCACACACTCCAATGCTTTAGTGTAGTCAATGAAGCAGAAATAAGACTTGAAATTCCTTTGCTTTTTCTATATCTAACTGATGTTAGCAATTTGATCTCTGGTTTCTCTGCCTTTCCTAAATCCAGCTTGTATTATCTGGAAGTTCTCACTTCATGAACTGTTGAAGTCTAGCTTGAAGGATTTGGAGCTTTACTTTCCTAGCATGTAAAATGAGTGCAGTTGTACTATAATTTGAACATTCTTTGGCATTGTTCTTTCTTTCGGGTTAGAATGAAAACTGACCTTTCCTGGTCCTGTGGCCACTGCTGAGTTTTCTAAATTTGCTGGCATATTGAATGCAGCACTTTAACAGCATCATCTTTTAGGATTTGAAACAGCTCTGCTAGAATTCCATCACCTCCACTAGCTTTGTCAATAGTAATGCTTCCTAAGGCCCACTTGACTTCACACTCCAGGATATATGACTCTAGGTGAGTGACCACACCATGTTGGTTATCTGAATCATTAAGATCTTCTTTGTATAGTTCATCTGTGTATTCTTGCCACCTTTTCTGTTTTTTTTTTTTTCCTTATTAATACAGTATTTATTTGTCTTCCTTCTGTCAAGCCCTGAGCCAACCACTTTCCCCAGGCTGCCTGGGGAGGCACAGGAAAAGAAACGTACAGGGAAGATGAGACACGGGAGAAAGAACTATGGGAGGTGGAAATGGCTCCTTCACATGGCGAAGAGGATGAGAAAGGCCACCATCAGGCAAAAGAGCCCCATGGCCTCCAAGAGGGCAAAGCCCAGAATGGCGTAGAAGAGCTGCTGCTTCAGAGAAGGGTTCCTGACATAACCAATGATGAGACTCCCAAACACAGGCCCAATTCCAGCTCCAGAGCCAGCCACCCCTACTGTGACAGCCAAGCTCCAATGAACTTGGCTGCTGTTGTCGATGTCCCTTGAAACGGCCCTGGTTTGGAAGCTGCGGCTAGGAGTAAGTGAGGTGGTCAGGGGACGGGGGACTACTGCCAAGCTGCTGTGGCTCTCATCTGTCAGTGTCTCTGGTCGTCTTACCACCACCGCAGATAGTGATCGGCTCAATAGTGTAGAGGTTCTCCTGATCAAGGAGGGGGTGGAGACGAACATGGCGCAAGCGTACATTTTCAGGAGATGAAGGGCTGTGGCAGGAGAGCTGCTCCCAGTGCAGAGAAGACCACCTTTTCTTAATATCTTCTGCTTCTGTTAGGTCCCGTACCATGCCCATCTTTGCATTAAATGTTCACTTGATATCTCCAATTTTCTTGAAGAGTTTTCCAGTCTTTCCCATTCTATTGTTTTCCTCTATTTCTTTGCATTGTTTACTTAACAAGTGAAGTCAAGTCACTCAGTTGGGTCCAACTCTTTGAGACCTCATGGACTGTAGCCTACCAGGCTTCTCTGTCCATGGGATTTTCCAGGCAAGAGTACTGGAGTGGGTTGCCATT